AATTACTTTGACTGTAATATACAGTACATTATATAAGCAAATATTTATCTATTAATAAATTGCATCAAAAGTTTGTTGGTTTTATGAATGTATTGATAACTCACTTATAATGTAATAAACAATAAAATATATATTTATTTATTATTTAATGTTAACGTTTAACACATTAATTATAAGTTAATAAATGAGATAAGAAAATGATTGACGAAGACTTACATCACATCTGACTTAAAATGCTTATCGTTTGACTAAATGGTGTCTTCTTTGGCTATTATTGTCACCGCAATTGAGACAACTCTTCGAGAACTCAAACCCACAATACTTTGGACACGGAATCACTTAAACTATACACTCATTTATCTATTATATAAAACACTAGAAATACACTAAATTTATACCTAATTTGATTAATAATCATTTATTTCTAGTCAAGTATTAAACTCTTTCCTCAAATCAATGTCTGAATTGATTTAAAATGTAAAACAAATGGTTTGAATGGTATTCAAGGTCTCATTTTCTGGGCTTAATTTTCTCGATACTATTTCAACACTTATTCCTAACTTCTATTCAATGTTTGTCGTAATTAATGGCAAATTCAAAACAGCATTACTTACTGCTGACTGAGAACTTGGATTCAATACTCTATTCAATCCGCTTGTCATCACTTCTTGTCATTTAATTGTATTTTCTGTAATAAAATCATGTTTTATTAATTTATACAATTTATACAATTTATTACTTCATTGAAAGCCAATGGTATGCTATATATTACTGTTATCTTATTTTAATATTCAATGCAAAAGCTATTAAAGTTTTTTACACTTTAGAGAATATAAGAATATTTGTTAAAGAATTTGAAGATAGAATAAATTGTCAGAATATAAGATAACTATTGAATTGGGGTTTGAAAATAAATTTAGATTTAACATAAAAATAAGGTTAATACATGTTTAATTTATATTTTACAACTACAAAACTATTCAATTAGTTGTTTACAGAATAGCAGTATTAATGCACTCATATATAGGCAACAGAATCTGTTTGGTTGTTATGTTGTGTTTTTTGTTTGGTTTCTATTTTCCATAACTCCGAGTATTATATAATATATTTAATCACAGAATGTTGTCATCCATATATAACTATATTAATCATATGTATCGTTATATAATATACATTTTGCGAACTTTATCAAATTCCTAATAATAAAGTATATCCATGGTATAAGAATATGATTACTTTTAAATTGCTTATAAAAATATTCAGTTTTTATGACAACACTTATAAGCCTTTTATAAATATTTTAAATTATAGGACAACTCAAATAAACCTCAGGAAACAAATTCAAATACCATTGTATTTGATATCTCAAAGAGTACTAACTTTTCACTCAACGATGGCTACAGGACTTTACAACGAAGACTTAAAACAAGTGGATGGAAAGTGAGCAGGTACATTTATAGCACATATAAAATGCAATGTTTATCGCATTGTTTTAAAAATATTTTAAATGTTTTGTAGTAACAAAGAAGAGATAACAAGTGAAATATTATCGCAATCGACTGTTTTTTTAATTTTAGCCCCAAAAGCGAAATATACAGACATTGAAGTAAGTAATGAAAAGTTTTGATAATTTGATGTTTTAAAATATGATTTCATTGAATAGTTCAAACATTTGAGAAAACATATACAAAACGGCGGAAAACTATTTGTTATGTTAGGAGAAGGAGGAGAACGAAAAGCGGGAACTAATGTCAACTTTTTGTTAGAAGAATACGGAATCTCTATAAATAATGGTCAGTATTATATTATATTTAATTTTAAAAATTTTAATCTGTGTTTAAAACACGAAATTTCTATTTGGTTATCCAACTGACACATCATTCATATATACTGTATATTCTGTGACATACGAGTATCATAATTGTCACAGAATGCATAACAAATAGAACTACTGTTATGCCGCATATATCTGTAGGTGTATGCACTTATAAGTAAATCCGAAGTGGTCTGGCCAAATAAAGCATAACAATGTACTTCTTACAGTGTATCTAGATTTTATCACAGTAATTCCCGGGTGCACTTATGGCCTGATTTGAACATTACCCTTTCAATTAAGTCAAAAATGTGCAAATAATATTGCACCTATATCCGGATTCCTTGTGTGAAAACTTAGATATAAGTGCATGTACTTATATGCGGCGTAAACCGGTAGTAGTGATAAAATTTTATACACGTTTTGGGTCCTAAATAGGCTTATAAAATACCCATACATTTAATATCTAAGAATCAATTACTTGTACGTTATATTTCCTATTAAATTATAGCAATTCTCTTTGCAATCGTCTTAAACAGACATTTAGTTTGAAAATTCTTGTTAATTAGTTATGACCATAAAATTGGTAAATCAATGCAACAATTCATTTATTATAAGTTAAATTATAAAAATTAATTGCTATAAAATGATTTATAAAAATGTACATGTACTGTATCATACATTTAGATACTGTGGTTCGAAGCGCTTATTATAAGTATTATCACCCGAAAGAGGCACAGATAGGGAACGGGATTCTCAACAGAGGATTACTTCAGAGCGCAAACAAACTCCAGAAACTTAATAACGGAGAAAACGACGACACGAATCAGATCCAGAATATCAGTTTCGTTTACCCGTTTGGGGCGACACTAAATGTGGCCAAACCAGCCGTTGCCGTATTGTCCACCGGTTCGGTCTCATTGCCACTCAATCGTCCCGTTTGTGCCTTTTATAATGAGCCCAAAAGTGGGGGCAAAATAGTGGTATTGGCGACGACTCTCATGTTTAGCGACGCCTACATCGAGAAAGAGGACAACTCTTTGGTTAAGGATATAATAATGCATTACTTTACTGACGCAAACTTTTCACTCAATACGATCGATGCCCAAAATCCCGAGGTTTCCGATTATTACACGATTCCAGACATTGAGTTACTATCAGAGCAGCCCTTCTCTAGTCTCGAAGAGAGTGAAGAATTGCCGTCCGATTACAACAAATTATTTTCCAAAACCATTAATCAAATTACAAACTCAGAGCTGACACAAGTGCTTAAAGCGTATGAGGAGTTACAGATGGACAGGGAGACACTGAAGCTGATTAAACCACAGTTCGATACACCCCTCCCGGCTCTACAACCGGCAGTATTTCCGCCCACTTTTCGCGAGCTATCAAAGCCTGCGCTCGAGTTGTTTGATTTGGACGACGCCTTCAGTTCAATACCCACTCGATTGACACAAATCGCCAACAAATGCAGTGAAAATGATTTGGAGTACTTTGTGAGAGAGTGTGGACTTATTGTGGGCATCAATGAAGCCGTGACCGGAACCAAATCAGCCAAAGCTATACTCAACTATATGTTTAGCAAAATTGTTGAATTCAAAAAAGTTAATAACGATCACAATTTGCATTGATTTACTATTTATTACACAAATTGAATGGTTTTGCAAAAATACACAAAAATTGATTTGAAAAATATGTTTATTATATAATTCACATAAAATCGTCGGAATCGTAGCCGTCCTATAAAACAAAGTGTTTATGACATATAATTTGTACAACAATTGTAATAATAAATACTTGATTTGTTTGCATATTTTCACTCTTCATAACAGAATCATAACTCTTGAGTTTAGCCATCTCTTCCTTCTTCTTCAACTCTTCCTTTTCTATCTCTAGTCTCGAAGAGAGTGAAGAATTGCCGTCCGATTACAACAAATTATTTTCCAAAACCATTAATCAAATTACAAACTCAGAGCTGACACAAGTGCTTAAAGCGTATGAGGAGTTACAGATGGATAGGGAGACACTGAAGCTGATTAAACCACAGTTCGATACACCCCTCCCGGCTCTACAACCGGCAGTATTTCCGCCCACTTTTCGCGAACTATCAAAGCCTGCGCTCGAGTTGTTTGATTTGGACGACGCCTTCAGTTCAATACCCACTCGATTGACACAAATCGCCAACAAATGCAGTGAAAATGATTTGGAGTACTTTGTAAGAGAGTGTGGACTTATTGTGGGCATCAATGAAGCCGTGACCGGAACCAAATCAGCCAAAGCTATACTCAACTATATGTTCAGCAAAATTGTTGAATTCAAAAAAGTTAATAACGATCACAATTTGCATTGATTTACTATTTATTACACAAATTGAATGGTTTTGCAAAAATACACAAAAATTGATTTGAAAAATATGTTTATATAATTCACATAAAATCGTCGGAATCGTAGCCGTCCTATAAAACAAAGTGTTTATAACATATAATTTGTACAACAATTGTAATAATAAATACTTGATTTGTTTGCATATTTTCACTCTTCATAACAGAATCATAACTCTTGAGTTTAGCCATCTCTTCCTTCTTCTTCAACTCTTCCTTTTCTTTTTGTTTAACATTTCGTTGAATTGCTTTCATTTTCTCCCTTTCCTTGCGATCCCTTTCCTCACGTTCTGCTCTGAAGTCAACGTTTTCTTTTTGGACCTAATATTAATATTAATTGGTTTATGAGTTTAAATCATTAATTCAATGGCATTCAACAAAATATCGATTCAAACCATTGTTTTGTCGAGTCTTTTAACAATTTCGTTGATTTTCTTCTCCACTTTAACAGTTCTGACGGCCTTCTGGTCGTGGAATCCAACCTTTGGATCAGACAGTAATCAATGCCACGACTGAGTGTCACACATGTATGGCATACCTGTCCGACTTCCATAGCGGCTGTTTTGCGCAGATTTGACCACAAGGTGTACACGACATCGATGTTATTCATTTTGGACCCTTTAATACTGTTCTGCTTAACCAATTGCGCGCAATCGTCGATCACTACACTCGGGATGTCGTCCAGCGTTTGGCTGACTCTGAGCCGAAGATACACGTGCGCTGACGACTCGTTGTCCACGTGAAACCACACGTCTTCAGGCCATCCCCAACGGATCAGCTCCTCATCTAAAATACGGTAAAAATCATTCAATACATGAGTCAATCAGACATTTGTGGACTATAAATATGTTCACTAAACAGATGTCTTACTCTCGTGTTTATCAAAGCCCATGTATAGCGTCATCGGCGGTGACACCACTGAAACACATGATAACAAAAACAATTCAATTAATGCTTGAATTAAATCAATACTTCATTTCATACAAACCATCGGTTGTGAAATAGTAAACCATTTGGAGATTTGATGCACTCTTTGGACAACTTTTTGATTAATTAATAAATGATTTAATTATTGAAATAAATCAACGATTGAACGAAGAGTTGATTCATTCAGTGATCCAATGATTTCATCACTAAAAGAGTGCCAAAGAGTTGTTGTCGTAATTGATGTAAGGATTTGAATGTTTGGCGCCTTTTGTGCGGCAAAAGTGATTGTCTGTCAAAACGATTGCATCAATTGGTGTCACATTTGGTCCGCAATAATAGCCGAAGACTACCACAAGAATCGATGGCTTTGTTTGAGAGTCCGCTGAAGACACAGACAAATGATATCCGAAATTATTTCCCCGTTTTTGAGAGAAACGCCGAAACGAGTGTCAAGAAGAGGAAAGTCGTCCGAAAAGGCCTGAAATGCGGATCAGAAGACAAACGCAAGACTTCCCGACGAAAGCTCTCGTTATTCGACGCCTCGGATCAGTTGGCCCTCGACTTCGGACAGAAGGACTTCGACTCAAAGCGCTGTAAGACATGCGATATGTTGTACACAACGGGCGAAGTGGTGGACGAGAAGACTCACGCGGAATATCACGACGTTTTTGTCAAAAGCATACGATTTAATGGTTGGAAACACGAAGACGTGGTCTCCGTCTACGAAGACGGAAGAGTTGTCCGCATTCTTCCGCATCACAAGAAAATTATGCTCAAAAAAGTGGACGAACTCTTCAAAGTGGCGGACATTGAGTTAGGGATTAATGTGGCGCTCGAGTCGTGCCTCAAGTCTTCGTCCGTTTTTCTAATATTCGCCACAAAAAGCAAACGAATCGCCGGTTTTGTGGCCGCAGAACGGATTCGTTTCGCCAACCATTTGATAAGTGAAGAGCCGTTTATGGCGTCGACCGATGAAGTGGTGGCCGAGTGTGGAATCGCTCGCATTTGGACGCATCCCAGCTTCAGGCGCATGAAGATTGCCTCAAGACTTCTGGACACACTTCGGGCCAACTTTACGTTAGGAAAGATTATCCAACGCTCGGACATCGCTTTCTCTGATCCAACCATTAATGGCAAAGATTTTGCCAAAAATTACACCAAAAGACACGACTTTTTGGTTTATTGCTATCAAAGCCTATAATTGTTTATAAGAATTGCATTTATTATAGAAAAGTATTTTATTATTTGTTTTACTTTTAACTCAATTTTACTTAATTTTTATGAATGTATTATTTTTTAAAGTAATTATAATGTATTACTTGTAATGTAAATACTTTAAACTTTTTAACATTGAAACTGTGATCAATATTTGATATGATTTAGAGCGCAAATACTGTCATTCAAAATAAATTGTCAATTATTTAAATTTCCAAAATATTTTTAATCGTAAATTTTTAAATCAAACAAAAATACAAAAAAAATAGAACAAAAAATGAGATCAAAATAACATTAAATGTTTTCAATTAAAACAATGTACAAAATATACAAATATTCTCATTGTTTTATAAACATCTATAAAATGTATCAATAATTATATATCGAATGATTTGTTCAGTGAATTATATAAAAGTGATTAAAGCTTTAAATTAACAACGATTTGCTTTAAAAGGAGATTAGAAATTGATATAAAACGAAGTCAATTGAATCATTACCACTACCAGCGCCGGCCACGACCGCCGCCTCGACCTCCGCGTCCGCCATCAGAGTTGGGGCACTCGCGGGAAAAGTGTCCGCTTTCGCCGCATTTGAAACACCCGTCACCACTGGCCCCACCTCTGCCGCCGCCACGTCTACCGCCACACGCGGCCTCTTCGGCGTCATGTTTTTCCTTCCAAGCGGAGTATCGTCGGGCCATCTCTGCCAAGTCATTGGGCACCTCCTGAGTGGCCTCTTCCAGAATGGCAATCAGTTCGGGCGTG